ACATATAATTATCTTTTCTAAACTGAAACAATCATTTTTACATTAAAATGTAATATGATGAGTAGTCTGGGGACCACAGATGTTGATACAGTGGACCCCCGGTTATCAGCCGGTTTGGTTATCGGCCAACTCAGTTAACGGCGGGTTTTTCAGCGCCCAGTTATCAGCCGTTTTGGACGCATCCATCCACCAGCTGGGGCAGCTTGCGCTTCAGTTTGGTTTGTCTACCGGTGGCTGAGGAAGCTTCTGCTAATACATCCAAATATTTCGCTTGTTTACCATTGTTTTTAGTGGTTTTTCTTGCAGTGCAACTGTGAAATAAGTAAGGATGGCTCCAAAGAAAGTTCCTAGTAAAGTTCCTGTGGTAAAGAAGTGAGAAACACCATGGATTTGAGCGTGAAGTGATAGAATAGTTTGAGAATGGTATGAAGGTGATGGAACTTGCCAGGATATACAGCAAGAATAAATCAACAATTACATCCATCCTGGCAAAGAAAGAACAAATCAAAGATGCTAATGTTGCAAAAGGAGTAACTTTTCTAACTAATCAAAGGCCACCAATAATGGAAGCGATGGAAAAGTTATTATTATTGTGGATTAAGGAAAAAGAATTAGTGGGAGACAGTGTTGTGGAGTCGATCATTTGTGAGAAGGCAAAGCAATTGCATGAGGATCTTGCAAAGAAAATGCCTGGAATAAGTGCTGCAGTTTGTGAATTTAGGGCCAGCAAAGGATGGTTTGATGGATTTAAGATGCATAGTGGCATACACAGTGTTTAAGGTATGGTGAGGCTGCAAGTTCTGACAAATGTGCAGCTGAAAATTATGTTCCCACTTCAGGGAAATCTTAAAGAGATGCCAGAAACAGAGCACTCTGGACAGTTATTTTGTGAGACATGGGTCCAGTGACTCTCAAGCTGGTCCTAGTGGCAATAAAAGACAGAAGGGAGGTAACCCCAGAGAAGGCTTTGATACCTCAAGTCTTTATGGAGGGGGATTCCCCTTCCAAACACTAACTCCTCCCTCTTTCCTCCTCCCTATCTTCTAGAAGCCAGCATTAGCCTTCAATAAAGGTATATAATACTTACATAATTGTTAAAAAAATTATTTTTTTTGTGAATATTTTTGTTTGAAACGGATTAATTGTAGTGTATTTCCATTAATTCTTATGGGAAATATTAATTCGGTTATCGGCCGACCTTCTGGAACGGATTACGGCTGATAACTTGGGGTCCACTGTACAATGTTCTGTTACTGTACCCACAGCACCCCTGCTTATTTTACATTCCCACCCAGTACAGTGGACCCTCGCCTAACGAACGCATCGCAAAGCGTTAAATCCGCCTAGCGATACATTTTAACGCAAAAATTTTGCCTCGGCTATCGCTAAAAAACTAGCTCGACGCGATTTGTTCAAGACGCGTCCACGTGCGGTCTGAGCCCGCCTCACTTGTTCCGTGGGTGCCAGTGTTTACAAGCCAGCCACTGCGGTCGTTTCCAAGCATACAATCGGAACATTTCATATTATCACAGCCTTTTTAGTGATTGCACCTGCAAAATAAGTCACCATGGGCCCCAAGAAAGCTTCTAGTGCCAACCCTACAGCAAAAAGAGTGAGAATTACTATGGATATGAAGAAAGAGATCATTGCTAAGTATGAAAGTGGAGTGCGTGTCTCTGAGCGGGCCAGGTTGTACACAAAACCCCAATCAACCATCGCTACTATTGTGGCCAAGAAAACGGCAATCAAGGAAGCTGTTCTTGCCAAAGGTGCAACTTTGTTTTCGAAACAGAGATCGCAAGTGATAGAAGATGTTGAGAGACTGTTATTGGTGTGGATAAACGAAAAACAGATAGCAGGAGATAGCATCTCTCAAGCGATCATATGTGAAAAGGCTAGGAAGTTGCATGATGATTTAATTAGAAAAATGCCTGCAACTAGTGATGATGTGAGTGAATTTAAGGCCAGCTAAGGTTGGTTTGAGAGATTTAAGACTCGTAGTGGCATACATAGTATGATAAGGCATGGTGAGGCTGCCAGTTCGGACCACAAAGTGGCTGAAAAATATGTGCAGGAATTCAAGGAGAACATAGACAGTGAAGGACTGAAACCTGAACAAGTATTTAATTGTGACGAAACAGGCCTGTTTTGGAAGAAAATGCCAAACAGGACGTACATTACTCAGGAGGAAAAGGCACTCCCAGGACATAAGCCTATGAAAGACAGGCTTACTCTGTTGATGTGTGCCAATGCTAGTGGTGATTGCAAAGTGAAGCCTTTATTGGTGTATCACTCTGAAACTCCCAGAGTGTTCAGGAAAAACAATGTCCTCAAGGCTAATTTGTGTGTGCTGTGGAGGGCAAACAGTAAGGCATGGGTCACTAGGGACTTTTTCTATGACTGGTTACACCATGCATTTGCCCCCACTGTGAAAAATTACCTAATTGAAAAGAAATTAGACCTTAAGTGCCTCCTGGTATTAGACAATGCTCCTGGTCATCCTTCAGACGTGGCAGAGCGACTTTCTGCGGAAATGAGCTTCATTAAGGTCAAGTTTTTGCCTCCTAATACCACTCCTCTCCTACAGCCCATGGACCAGCAGGTCATTTCCAACTTCAAGAAACTGTACACAAAAGCTATGTTTGAAATGTGCTTTGTAGTAACCTCAGAAACTCAATTGACTCTAAGAGAGTTTTGGAGAGATCACTTTAGCATCCTCAATTGTGTAAACATTATAGGTAAGGCTTGGAAGGAAGTGACTAAGAGGACCTTGAACTCTGCTTGGAAGAAACTGTGGCCAGAATGTGTAGACAAAAGGGATTTTGAAGGGTTTGAGGCTAACCCTGGGAATCCTATGCCAGTTGAGGAATCCATTGTGGCATTGGGGAAGTCCTTGGGGTTGGATGTTAGTGGGGAGGATGTGGAAGAGTTGGTGGAGGAGGACAATGAAGAACTAACCACTGATGAGCTGCTAGATCATCTTCAACAGCAAGAGGCCACACCTGAGGAAACTGCTTCGGAGGAGGGGATAGAGAAATTGAGGAAGTTGCCTACTTCAAAGATTAAGGAAATGTGTGCAATGTGGCTTAAAGTGCAAACCTTTTTTGATGAAAATCACCCTCACACAGCTATTGCAAGCTGTGCTGGTGACTATTACACTGACAATGTTGTGAAACACTTTAGGAATGTCATAAAGGAACGGGAGGTACAGGCCTCTATGGACAGATATGTTGTGCGACAGAGGCCCAGTGACTCTCAAGCTGGTCCTAGTGGCATTAAAAGAAGAAGGGAAGTAACCCCGGAAAAAGACTTGCCACCTCAAGTCCTAATGGAAGGGGATTCCCCTTCTAAACACTAACACCATCAACACTCTCCCCTCCTCCCATCCCATCAATCATCACCAGATCTTCAATAAAGGTAAGTGCCATGTAACTGTGCATGTCTTCTTCAGTTTGTGTGTATTAAAATTAATATTTCATGTGGTAAATTTTTTTTTTGTTCATACTTTGGGAAGTCATAAATGGATTAATTTAACTTCCATTATTTCTTATGGGGAAAATTAATTCGCCTAAAGATAATTTCGCCTAACGTTGAGCTCTCAGGAACGGATTAATAGCGTTAGGCGAGGGTCCACTGTATGCTGTTTTGGCAGTGTGCAGATTTGGGACTAAGCCCTTAAGTACCTTCTACATATACAGTGGAATCCCGAGTTTCGAACTTTTTTCGTTCCAGAAGGCTGTTCGAGTGCCGTTACCAAACGAATTTATTCCCATAAGGAATAGTGTAAATTAGATTAGTCCATTTCAGACCCCCAAAAATACAAACCATACCACGGGCGGGATTGAACCCGCGATCAGAGAGTCTCAAAACTCCAGACCGTCGCGTTAGCCACTAGACCAGCTAGCCACAATAAGATTCGTCCAACTAGGTATATTTCTACACCATAGGAAGGTTAGCATAGGCACCACTGTGACCACAAATGCAAGTTTTTACAGACGAATCTCCAGCTAGCGTGGCCGTGACGAACTCTAGCTCAAGTCCCCTCAATGCATTGATGGCACTTACATAATTGGTCGAGTTGGGAGCAGTTCGAAGCTAGGGGTTCCACTGTATATTATTATGTATCATTCCACTCTAATGAGTACATATGTAGGATTTTGGGGCATTCCCAGTAATTTGCTTTACTGGTTCTATGGGAACCATAAATGATCTTTGTATCTGTTTTAGTACTGCTTTCTCCCCTGTCCTGAAAGGAGCCATCAACACTGAACAATAGTCTAACCATGAGAGCACAAAGGATTGAAAAGTATCATCACTGGCACTATTTCCCTTATTTTGCAAGTTCTCATAATCCATCCCATCATTTTCCTGCTGTTGCGCCATTTGCCTTATTGTGTTTTTTGAAAGAAATGTAAGTTGACATTATTACTAACAGGTCTTCAAGAGGAAGCTGAATTGCTATTTATTCCCAGTGCTAGATTAACTATGCTGTGATGGATATGTGGGCCAGTGGGCCATCAATACTAACAACCTGGGTGACCAGGCAGTCAGCAGAAAAGCATACACCTGAGATGGGATGCAGCAGAAAAACTCAAAACTGGTCCCGGGTATATCCCAGGCACTTCACTGTTCCCTTTATACAGCATGTGTGATGTCCTTGTATCATCTGGATCAGCTTCATAAAGCTCTTTTAGAACAAAACCTAGCCACAAAAAATGTCTCATTACTTGCTCCTCTTTTGTTTTTACTTAACACAGCAATTTTATGAACATAATACAGAATGACTCAGTGATCATTGGTTAACATATGAAATGCAGAATGAATCAGTGGTTACAGGTAAACATATAATCATAACAAAGTGTTAAAATATATAACATAAAAAGTGTAGAATCCCTAGTCAAAAGTAAAGAGAGACAGTGCAGATCACTGATAAGATAAACACAGTATATACAGAATGAAAGTGACAATTGGTTTACACTGAAAAATGGTGGATGACCCACCTGGCAGCTCAATGACATCAACAGCAAAGACATCCTTGGCCAAAGCTCCATCATTGCCCTGAGCCTTGATAGTAACATAGTGATGCCCACGGTCCGCTGAGCGTGGTACACCCTCCACAACACCTCGCTCACTGTCCCAGTACAACCACCATGGTAACCCTTTCACCTGCAAAACAAATATTTCTTTCAGAAAGATATAAATGAAACACTATTTTAGAAAGTTGTAAATGAAACACTATTTTAGAAAGTTGTAAATGAAACACTATTTTAGAAAGTTGTAAATGAAACACTATTTTAGAAAGTTGTAAATGAAACACTATTTTAGAAAGTTGTAAATGAAACACTATTTTAGAAAGTTATAAATGAAACACTATTTTAGAAAGTTGTAAATGAAACACTATTTTAGAAAGTTGTAAATGAAACACTATTTTAGAAAGTTGTAAATGAAACACTATTTTAGAAAGTTGTAAATGAAACACTATTTTAGAAAGTTGTAAATGAAACACTATTTTAGAAAGTTATAAATGAAACACTCATTTTGAAAGGCAGAACTAAAACTCATTTTAGAAAGCTACAAATGAAAAAAAATATTTTCAGAAAGTTTGAATGTCAGATACTAAATATAAAATTTAATACAGTGGACCCCCGGCTTACGATATTATTTCATTCCAGAAGTATGTTCAGGTGCCATTACTGAACGAATTTGGTCCCATAAGGAATACTGTGAATTAGATTAGTCCATTTCAGACCCCCAAACATACATGTACAAACGCACTTACATAAATACACTTATACAATTGGTCGCATTGGGAGCTGATCGTAAAGCGGGGGTCCACTGTATTGTATTAACAAAATCTTACTGCTGATGAGGGGTTTTTGATTCAAGGAATTGAAGCAACCACCCCCTTAATTGAATCAAACCTAATTTTCTGAAATTTCCCAAATGGATGTATATGGTAAATGGTATTGATAAAAATATCAACACCAAAAGAAATATTAAATAAATTACCCCCCCCCCAAAAAGCCACTTGTAATAATTATTATTAGTATTAAAGCCACGAGGAAGCACTAAAACATAAGAGTTAAACAATGCAATGCCAGGGAACATGAGGTAATCCATTTTGATCCAAGGAAGGGGAGGGTAACTCCTTGAATCAGGAGCCTTTCATTAGCTTCAAGATACCTCCTTGAAGTGACAAAATTTAAGAAATTAATATTGAATATTAACAAACTGCAACACATGCTGCAATATATATTAACTTTTAAACGGTCCAAATGTATATATACGTACGTTCTCTCGCATAGCGCCCCAAACGTATATATATGTTTCATTTGTCATTCTTTCAACATTGGCACGATAGGCCTAAGTTGCCTAGACATGAGAGAATGAGTGTGCGCCATATGAAAAAAATTGGGGATGCCTGGGTACCACATGCTCTTTTTTCCTATAAAAAAAAACTTTTTTTTTCTCAAAATATTTGGGGACCTGCACAGGTGAACGTATACTTATATACGTTTGGACCGTTTAAGGGTTAATGGATCAGGATCATCATTCCTGCAACCCGGTCTTAGACTAGACCTAACAAAAAAGAAATATTACCGAAATAAAAACTATTAGGAAACACTACAGGAAATTAAATATTCTGTAAGAGTATATAGCGAGAAATATCTTCTTGAGTTTTAAAATTATGTGCAGAATATTTAAGAATATGTGGTCCCAGCAAGCAACTCTCCCCTGATTACCTGTGTTGCTTCCGGGGGTTCATCGTCCCAGTGGCCCGGTTCCAGACCAGACTTCCTGGCTGCTGGCTTCATCAACTAGGTTCTTGGTGCCGGCCGCACACAAATGTATACATCACATCCCGGGTGATTAGGAACTTATCTGAGGAACTTACCAGTTATCCCTTGAAAACAGCTTGAGGTTTGTTGACAGTTTCCCTTTAACACAAAGGGAGGCCAGTATTATGAACTGAAACCTTCAATAGTGACAATAAAAGAGGGGGCACAATACTGAGGACACTGAACGACTCATGTTCAGCAAGCCATTAAGCATAATGAGGTTTCATGAATGTAACAATTAACACTGCCAACATTCCTGACAAATCTAACCCTGACTACAGGTTAACACTACAAGACTTTGGAAACAGACATAGGCACCATCCCACGAGCTTTACAGTTCCCTCTTGAGGACTGCTAGTGTCAAGTGGGTTTTCGATAACGTGGATGGGGTAAGAATACTCACGCAGGCTGGTAGTACGTATAATATAACGTTAAGTATGGGAAGCGCCAACAGCCGACCTGCCTCTCTCTGCTCCCTATCTTCGACTGACTCTCAAGTGCCTACGGGTGAGGGGTGTTTGAAATCCTGCTATGGTCAGCAGCAATATGAATAATCAGTCAGTGATTCACGCAGACGGTTGGTAGTGAGTCATCTACTGGTACACTGGTTACTGGTAACTGGTTACTAGGAACTGGTACTACTACTGAGACTAGGGGTATATTGGTAATCTTTCGTATGATGGGTGGCTGTTGAAAAGGCTTGGGGACCTTACATTTAGTGTGTTTCAGTGTACCTAAGGCACCCTTGCTATTCATTGGGGGTATATTGCATCGCCTTCTGAGCCATTTTGCCTTAGGAGGGAGTAATTTCTGTGTGCAGATTTGGTACCAAACCCTCTAGGATTTTCCAAAATAAATTATGGTGCAGTATTTTTCTCACCTGCATTCCAAGGAGTACAGGTTAAGGGGCTTCTAATTTTCCCAGTAATTAAGGTGCTTGACAGAATTTATATGTGCAGCAAAGGTTCTCTGTGCATTCTTTAGATCCGCAACTTCGCCTGCCTTGACTTTAAAAGGCTCATCACTAGCTTGGTATACTTGGTTTGAAGGTTCTCATTATTCATCCTATCAGTTCCTCCATATAATTTACAAGCTGAGCACTTGATGCAAGGAATGCATGCTACTCTTCTTTCCTTGGATCGAAGCTGGACCAGGGAGACAGAACACTGTACTTGATAGTAAGACCACATACATCTTCCAGGTGTACAAGGGTAGGCTCACACTGTCGTTTCTGGGCATGTTATTGATAGAACATAGAACCAGCTGCTGTCTTCTAGTAGTGAAAGGTTAGAGAAAAAGGTGACATCTACCCTCGCCTCCCCTTCAACAACCTCGCCTGCTGTGTAAACATTATGTGCTGGGTGACGCCACCACTTAACACTCTCCCGTAAACAAGATAAAACTCTCACTCCCACAGTCAACTGCCACCAACACCATCCATTACCTTCAATTACTGTACCATCACTATCACCAACCATTACTTTCAATTACTGTACCAACAGTATAACCAACCATTACCTTCAATTACTGTACCAACACCATTACCTTCAATTACTGTACCAACACCATCACCAACCATTCCCTTCAATTACTGTACCAATACCATCATCAACCATTACCTTCAATTACTGTACCAACACCATCACCAACCATTACCTTCAATTACTGTACCAATACCATCATCAACCATTTCTGGAGTTGGCTTGTAGTTGGCTTCAATCACCGCACCAACGATGATCACGGCAAACCCACTTATCTGGAGGTTATTCCGGGGATCAACGCCCCCGCGGCCCGGTCCATGACCAGGCCTCCCGATACCTTCAATTATTGTACCAACACCATCAACAACCATTATACTCAATCCCTGTACTATCACCAACCACTACCTTCAATTACTATACCAACACCATTATCTTGAATAGTTGTACAAGACAGGTATACAATACCAACAAGATGAAAGTTAAGACACTTGTGCAACATCTGGTTATTTTATTGTAGACGTTTCGCCATTCAGTGGCTTTATCAACACAGATTCTAGGACATAATTAAAAAACAAGAACTATATACAAAAGATGAGGTAATCAGTCCCTCAGCCGTGGAGTTGGTGTTGAGAGCACCGTGGGTGTAGAGAATCTCTACAACCACGGTGCTCTCAACACCAACTCCCCTGTTTCGCCACTGTGTGGCAAAAAGTTTCCTCATTATTTAGGATACCCAAGTGTTGCATATGTGTCTAATTTATCAACTTGTCGGTTCTCTGAACCAGTCATCTACATTCCTGCCTGACACAGCAACATCTTGGGATCTTAAGACAGAGAATTCTTCAGTTGCCTAACCCTTGGGCACGACTTCCACAATGGACAAATGTGACACCACCAACGTCTGATGCACCTCTCCTGCCTACGGTATATAAGATACTTCTCCGCACATACGCTGTATTCTATTCAAGATTGATGGACTGACCACATCGACTCAAGGTTGAGGGACTGATCAGGCCCTGATCCACCGGGAGGCCTGGTCATGGACCGGGCCGCGGGGGCGTTGATCCCCGGAATAACCTCCAGGTAACCTCATACTCCTGTTCTTCACGATTCTCCTTTGTATGGACTGATGAAGCCACTGTGTGGCGAAACGTTTCCTCATTAAAGACACCCAAGTGTTGCATATGTGTCTAATTTATCAGTCCACTAGTACAAGAAAGAATGTAATCACTGACAGGTCAGGTCCCTCTCAAATCCAACCCTTCTCACTTTAAAAAGTTGTCCAAGGTGTTTTCTGTTCCGTACCAAGATACCATTGTGTAGCAGTGTCTGACAGTGAATATTAAATGGTATATAATAACAGCACTATCACCAACCATTACCTTCAATCCCTGTACTAGCACTACACAAATAACCCGTATATAGGAGAGATGAGCTTATGACGACGTTTCGGTCCGACTTGGACCATTTACAAAGTCACACTTTGTAAATGGTCCAAGTAGGACCGTAACGTCGTCAAAAGCTCCTCTCTCCGATGTGTAGGCTATTTGTGTATTGTTCCAGTCACGGTACCTGGAGGTTATTCTGGGGATCAACGCCCCCGCGGCCCGGTCCATGACCAGGCCTCCCGATGGATCAGGGCCTGATCAACTAGGCTGTTACTGCTGGCCGCACGCAGTCCGACGTACGAGCCACAGCCCGGCTGATCCGGCACTGACTTTAGGTATCTGTCCAGCTCTCTCTTGAAGGCAGCCAGGGGTTTATTGGCAATTCCCCTAATGCTTGATGGGAGGCTGTTGAACAGTTTTGGGCCCCGGACACTTATGGTGTTTTCTCTTAGTGTACC